CACGAGATTGAAGAAAGCTTTTCTTACAAGTGAAACACAATGTTTTTTCTACGACCCTTTTATTTTTATTATTTTTAAATACAAAACCAAATAACCTAAAAACTTTTTTGACAGATGAATGTCAAACGATGCTTTCCGTTTCTTTTCACACAGACCTGTCACTTTTCACACAGAAATGTCATTTTACATTCGTGTTTTGCCTTGCCAATGAAAAGATTCATTTTCTAAGCAACGATGCCATCATGAAAAGTGACTTTCACATAGTGGTCGTATAAAAAATATTTATTTAGATTTTCGTCTGTTTGACTTGCTTAATCTGCTCCTAAATTTATGTCACTAAGTTTAGGGACACCATGTATAATACATCTATAGGTACCTATATATTATTACAATAACCCTTTATAGGTTAATGGTCTCTATAGTAACCTCATCCATTACAGCTTCCTAAGAAATGAGAGAGAACCCAAACTTCGACCAATGTACAAATAAATGAACTCATAATGTGCACTGACTATCATATTGGCCACAATTTAAATTTGGCACCTGTTAGAACCAATGTGGTCTCTATGTTAACCATTGCCTGTTCCCACAAAATTGCGAAAAAGTAACATTTGCATTAATTGTTGCTGCTAGCGAGCATAAGCATGTTTTTTTTTTACCTGACAACACATATAATTTTAAAGGTAAATTAATGATTTACAACTTGTGATAATAGTACTTGGAAAATAGGTTAGCGCTAACGAAATATTTAGATCGTTTTGGAACATAACCTCTATCAGGCTTACATACCGAAAGACTATTGAATCCAGGCATATAAACGTCCAGTATTTTTGGGTTTTTTGAAAAATTGGATTCAAGTAAACTATTTTATCTAGTCGTTGGTGTAACCGAAGATCAGGCTATGGATTAGCAACGAGCATTAGTTACACCAAGTTTCTCTCATCAAGAGTCGCCAAGTACTTTTCGTCTGAATTCACCAAGTACATCTTCATGTTTACAAGTCTGCCAATACTTTAGCACGATCGAGCCTACGTAATCGTAGTGAGCGAACATCCAGTATACATTTCAGGAAATAAATTTTGAATAGATTTGAGGGTGAAAGTGATGCAGATGACTCAGTATCGCGATTACTCATCAGATTCAGAGAAAACTAGCAGTAGTAGGTCATTTTTGAAAATTAACCAGTGAAAATAAAAATAAAAATATGCATCACAGAAATGCCACTGTAACATAGTCACTAAAACAAGAGTGGGTAGAATCAAACAATGAAGAAACTTTGACAAATTGCAATTTACTAAAACCGGGGCGTTTCCACATAAGGATAATGACACAGTTTTCAGTGAACAATTTATAAATATTAAATTTTTTACAGCATACACCATGTTATTATTTTACCGGTTCTGAAAAATAATAAAAACAAAAATCATTTTAGAAACGCAAAAAAAAACGATTAAATTAAATATGTGGTTATCATTTAGACCACCGCCCATCTATCATCTTATGGGCAGTGGTTTCCATTTAATCCACCATAATAAATTTAAAAAAAACAGTTGGATTTTCAAAATAATTATTAAAATAACTTAAGACATCCAAAATGGGTGGGTCTTAACAAAAAAAAATTAAAAATAACATTTATTGGATTCTGCCCTATAAAGGGATAAACAATAGAAATGTTTCCAGCACGCAATGTTTATTAAACAAAGATAGGCCGATTCACAGTGGCTGTTGCATGGAGGTGCGACCTATCCTGGCCGATGTTGGGCCTGTCGTGTGCCGCAGTAGCGCAGAAAAGGTTGATGTATTTTTTATTGATTGGACTTTACATACATTTGCGGGTTGTTTGCTATTTGGTGTATTAAGGCCCCTACAGACTTATTTTTCATTCAATTGTATCTCCAAGGTTCAGATCGTCATGCCAAAATGCCAATATGTCAATGTCCACCACACACTATGGGAAATTCTAACAGTTCATTTTTATTCTTCATAATATGGAGATAAAGCATTGGTTAGTAGTGGCGGCGGTGCGTTGCGGTTTTAAAAAACGAACATAAATAATGTTTTCGTACCGGTCTCGGTAGACTATAGATTTGTCGAGCTACAGGCAAGACATTGTTTACCTATAAGTTTAAAACAAATCTATTAAAAACTGCTGACACATTAACTTTTGCGACCGCGCTACACTGCTTAAAATACCCCATAGAGACCTATACAAAATAATCTATCGGGCGCTACCAGATTCAATATGTGCATTTGTCCATGGTTTTTTTCCGGATACAGCCCGATAGAAAATGTATAGGAAATTACCTATAGGCACACCATATCTTTTACATTTTCCCTATTGAGACCGATAGCAAATAACTCAATGAAGGATATATAGGGATATCCCTATAGAGCAAACATAAAACATTTGACAAAATTTTATTAAAACCTATGGGGTAATATAAGGGAAAACCTAATTTCTACATTTATGTGTATTTTCCCCATTGAAGCCGATAGCAAATAAATCAACAGTGGATATCCCTATAGAACAACCATAAATCTCAACTATGGGTCCTATACAAACCGATACACCCAATAGAAACACCATACATCCCGATACAAATATCTATCGGTTTGAACAGGGTCTATATGGGGTATTTTAAGCAGGGTACTGATTAAAAACCCCTAAGACTTCAGTTTGACACTTTTTTAATCTGTGGACACGACGGTTTGTCACCACACACATCAGTTTTTGCGTTTTTGACACGTCGCGACGTTCCGAATCGTTCAAATGGATACAAAATATGATTCTGGTAAGATATTATCCATTTTCGGAGTATTAATCATCACTGACCACTAATCCACTGTCAGCAGTGGTATACGAGATTTTTAAGATAACCTCATAATAAGATTAGGAGATCTTGCAGGCCATTGCATTATAATAAAACTGAAATAGGCAGGAGCCCCAACGTGCTTGTTTCATATGTAGTTACATTTTCAAAAAAGTTGGAATAAATGCAAGTAAGACTGTCCGTCAAGAGGTCTTGGAAGAAAATGGGCCTGTAATAGAATTGACTGATAATGGTATGTTTTTTAAAGTACTTTGGTACGCTGAATTTAAATTTAGAGCCAGAAGTTTTAAAGAAATTCTAACCCAAAAGTAGAAAACACGCGTTTTGTTACATTATGAAATTGCCTTTACAAAAATACAATTTTGCCTTTTCGAGAAATTGTCAGTTAAAATGTATAACCAAAACGATCATTTACTCAAACAAACACATACATTTTAACTATTTATTATTTCTTAAAGAAAAATGATAATATTGAAAAAATTCAAAAAGTATGAGAAATTGGTTGTTCTTCCAGATGGCGTAGAGAGTTTTGAGGAGAAAATATACCTTGTAATGTTATATCACTTTAAATAATAAAAAACATGCGTTAGAGCTGACTCAGATTCTAATTTAGCATAGCAAATTACTCAAGAAGCTGTGTCTTGGTTGATCAAGTCCACAAACCCTCTAGACCAGTATTATTCATCAATACTACTAAATTAAGCAATTTTAATTAAATATTTTTTAAATCTCAGTTGCGTACCATTTTTTTTACAAGAAATATCAGAGGATGTTTGCAGGGACTGGACTTGTGGAGCAATAGAATAACTTTTTAACTAAATTATATAGCTTTAAAATTTTATATAAAGTACACCCTTTATAAATTTAAAACTGTGATCGTTTGAATTAGTAAATAATTTGGTATTTAACTATAGTTAAGTTGACTTCCTCTAATTCGGGATTCATTTAAGTCGTATTCTCATCCAACTCAAATATCTACCTTAAAATTATTTTAATTTTTTACTTTTTCTACGCCAGCTATGTAAAAGTCGTACTTCGTTTCGCGTCGTTGCTAAGAAGATGAATATTTTTTATTTGCAAGGCTAAACTCAAATGAAAACAGACGTTTCTGTGTAAAAATTGACAGGACTGTTTGAAAAGAAAGTCATATTGGTATGTAAACCGCTTGATAGTTGTCAAATGTAAAATGTCTAATAAAATTGGCTTTAAATTCTGAAAAAAAAATTCCTCGTTGTAGAAAAAGTAGTGTGTTTCACTTGAAAGAAAAGCATTTTATAAGCTTGTGCTAATGCACTTAATGCCAATTAAACACTTATACAATAATATTTTTCTACTCCCACCTTTAAAACGCCCACCGTACCAGTTTCCATGCCACTAAGTGACCTTTTAAATACACAATGACAAGTTGTGGCTTTATGACTTTTTAGTCATGGGCTGAAGTTAGTTTTAAGTTCGCTGACAGTTGTCAAATGTCATACAATCTTTAAAATAAATTGCCAATCTTGTAAAATACTCAATTTAAAAATTATTGTATTAGTTTAATACAAAAATGCAAACGTATTTAATTAACACATATAAGATTGTATACAAACTTGACATTTTTACATTTTTACTGTAGATTCTCATTCTTACGGTTACTCATTTTTGTATCCATACAAATATTTAATTTAAATCATTTTCAGATAATAATAATAATAATAATAATAAGTATTTGTTGTAGAAAAAGTATAGTATGCAACTCGTTTATAAATTTTCTGGACACTTATTTAATTAAGCACTCGTTCGCAAGCTCACTTGTGCCTAAATTAAATTTGTCACTAAAATGGCGTTTATTAAACTTAATAAATAATATCAATATTAGGTTTGGTAATTTCCCTTATACCTTGTACGCCGCTGCAACTTTCTATAGGTTTATTTAATGTTGATTAAAGTAGGTATTTAAATTTTCTGGAATTTTTCATATAATTTTGGAAAAATTTGTTTTATTATAGTTACGCCACTATCTCCTTTTTTATAATTTTGAAGACAGCACCAAAATACTTAAATATTTAATTAGTTTTTGCCTAATCCAAAATAAAACAATTTTGTTAAATCGTTGTGGGGAGGAGACAATTATTATATTATACTTCTATAAAATTATAATACTAAAATAAAATTTCTTTGTTGCAGGACCTAGAACAAACAGTGAAAAAAATGTTACCCAGCAGGACAAAAATGCGTCAGTGTTATAGCTAGTTTAAATGTTGTTATTGACTGAGTAGCCGAAAACGGACGAGGTGCTGGGGTTGGCTTCACCCTTAGGCCCCTCGAATTTAAACCCTGCCAGCGCTGGCTACTATGCGAATTGCACACTGTATCCGAGCCCTAATTGCGGTAAGTCTATCTTAAAATAAAAATCCTGCCCTAAACTCTGTTCTCCCATGTATAAAAGTGAAATGTTGAGCCATAGGTGAGTAGTTTTTACTAGATGTTATTTTGAAAAGTGCCACCTTCCAAAAAAAAACAAATTTTATGACTTTTTGACCAGCAAGTTTTCTTCGTTCATCAAACTTTGTATTTTGGTTAAAAACCCTTAGACAAGGAAAAAACAAACCATCATTGTATTTTAATATTGAAACATATGTTTTTAATTAATTGTCTAGCAAAACTAAATTTTAAAGTTGACAATGACATTTTGATTCATATTAATATCTAGCATACTTCACTTTAATTCACAACAATGGGCGTTATGCCTCCATTTTTATACACAGTAAACAATTATTTGTTAATTTTAACCAAATATTGATCAGAATTTATGTTAATCCAGGTCCACATAAGTTTATGTCAAGTGTACAACCAACTGCAATGTGTTAACTAATTAAATAAGTAGGTAGTTTGTAATTATAATGAACCTTTTAAATATTTAATAACAAAATCCTTTGTCAATAATTCAACCATAATTCTTGTAATTTTAAAAAAGGAAACTTAAATGAAAAGAATTTTAATAAGAAATGTTGCTTTATACCTACAAAAATGAACACAAAAATAACATACACCCAATTAAATAATACACCACTCTAAAATCATCAAATTATAAAGAAATTTGGCACAATATAATTATGTATTACTACAACACTTACTTATGTATTTCGTTACTTAAGCCCACTTCACTGTATCCCCTAATTTCAGTTTGAAAACCAGTGATGGCATCTTTATTCGGATACTTCGCATACTCGTTAAATAGGTATAAGAAATCCTAATAACTTTCGGTAAAATATTTCTCTTTGTTAAAATAATTCCAAGAGCTGGTCTCTACAAAAAAATATGTTAATTTTACAAAACAAAATTAACAAGCTACAAACTCATGATAAAAAATCTTTTTTATAACAGTGTAATCAATCTATCTACAAAACACTATCCTGACCCAACAATGGTTTGATAATTTTTATAAAGATAAATCGAAAACTTAAAAAATTATAAAACATAAAAAATTCATCGCACACTTGAATTGAGTAAATTACCTGGGGCACTAAACATTTAAAAAACACATTTTGATTATTATTATTATTATTATTATTATTATTATTATTATTATTATTATTATTATTATGTGTCATCTGTCGTTTATAAAAACGCGCAGCTTTTAGTCACATTATAGTAAAATAGTTTCAGGCAGAAAGGCAAAATAATATTTTTTTCTGAACAACAAGTAAAATTTAAATCCTGATTAAACCAGTCGAAAAAAAATATTGCATTTATAAATTATCTACACAAAATTTGAGTCGATTAGTGGCTACTTTTTTTAGAGAGTGGGTTCACTTCAGATCAAACAGTGCAGTTCACCACATCGCGATGTGGTGAACTGCACTGTTTGATCTGAAGTGAACCCACTCTCTAAAAAAAGTAGCCACTAATAATTCTCGTCAAAAGCAATTTAACAGTCTATATCCATGTAAAATTGTCCCCTGATTCCGAAAATGTTACAAAAGTTAAACAGTTTTTAATATATAATATAATAATAATATGGAATTGACCTTATCTCAAAAACTGCTCTACTTTCATAATTTTTAAAGGTATTTTCAGATTCAGAGGACAATTTTACATAAGATTTGGCTGTTTAATTTTGGGATACCATGATATCCCATGCACAGGGGTCCGGAATGAGTCATAGGTCACATAAAAATGACTCCAAAAACTGAATGCGCTAGAGTTTAAAAACATGTTTTTCAAAATTGTAGGTGATCCTTTTTTTTAATTTTTGAAGTTAATTTAAATTCCAACTGTAAGTTAGTGACTTATTTAAGATTTTTTGCAAATTTCTTTAAAACTGAGCCCTTTAGGAAAAATTTTAAAATAAATAATTAAAGAAGCTTCAACAACCGCAACCATTGGCGTAGATATATATTTTTTTTAATTACACTATGTTTAAAAACTTGATGTTTTTGCACATTAATCACCGAAAGCCTATTTCACAAAAAAAAGGACAACAGAAAATGGTTTATCTATTAAACATTTTTTTTTAAATTTTTAAAAAAAAGCAGGACCCTTAAATAAATTGATTAACTAAGTACCTAATGTATGTTTAGTTGAGTTATTCGCTCACCCTCAGTTGCTTACATTAAATTGTCAACAAGGAATAAATAAAGAAATCTAGTTAGCCAGGCAACACTTTTGCCTACGTATTTTGGAACGGATTGGTGAAACTTATTGGAAAAGAACAGGCGTTGAGAAACACTGAATTTGGTCTCTAAGAACTACCAAGGTGACATATTTGAGGAAAATGCTTCTGAAACACCCTGTCACTCTTAACAAAAGTTTTTTAAACTGTTAGTCCTTTGGTCATTTTACCATACGTGTCCCAATTTAAGACTATGGATAAATTAGTTGAGAATTATTTTTCCACCAAAACGCCTACTAAATAAAATTTCACATACAAGCATTAGTAGTTATGTTTAAAGCTGCTGATATATCTCAAACTTTAAAAAATCATGTACTAATTAATCACTTGGAAGAATGTCCACCGCGAGTTTATAAATACAAGATAAACAACATGGCACATCCTAACTTTAATGAGTCCTTAAAAAGAGCAGTTGTGGAGTTTTCATAAAAAAATATGCTTTTTCTCATGTTGATAACAATAATTAATAATTAATAAATAATATTTGACAATTATTAAGTACTTATAAATATACTTATCTTTTTTGTTTTATATAGGTTATATTTCTTTAACGAAAAATGATGCTGAAATGTTGAAAGTAACCTATGACAGGTTATTTGCAAAAAAAATGTAACATATCCAGTTCAACATAAAAAATTTACGACTACGTATATGGAGGCATGATTTAATAGATAATTAAATCACCTTTATTTCCTTAATCAAACATTTTTACCAAAGTGTCCGTTTTAAAGATAATAGCAAAAACCTAAAATGAATCACCAAATGACGTTTCATATTTAGATTATTAAGCAAAACTTTAAAAAAGAAACATCTACAATTTTGAAAAACATATTTTTTAACTTCAGTTTTTGGCGTCATTTTTATGTGTCCTATGACACGTAAAGGGGCCACTGTGCATGGTTAACCATGGTATATGCGAAAAATCAGCCACTACACAGTAGTGATTACACAGTTAAAAAAAATCAACTCTAAGCAACACTAATTAGAGTTCACACAGGTCCACACTAATAGTTTTGTTTTATAACACTTCAATTAGAGTTAATTTCTATACTATATTTGTATACTATAGTCTAATTTCCCCAAGTAAGATTTAACACTACAGCACTGAGGATAAAGTAATTTTACACTGTATTAAAAAGTGTTAATTTACCTAAAATTGTGTACTTCTACACTTCCTAATTACCCAGGAAGTGTAGAAGTACACAATTTTAGGTAAATTAACACTTTTTAATACAGTGTAAAATTACTTTATCCTCAGTGCTGTAGTGTTAAATTATACTTGCTTACTTGGGGAAATTAGACTATAGTATACAAATATAGTATAGAAATTAATTCCAATTGAAGTGTTATAAAACAAAACTATTAGTGACGACCTGTGTGAACTCTAATTAGTGTTGCTTAGAGTTGATTTTTTTAACTGTGTAATCACTACAGTGTAGTGGCTGATTTTTTGCATATACCATGGTTTTAAAATCCCACTTTTGTTCAGCGTAACTTAACACTACTTTGGAAAAGTTCTAATTTTAGAAAGGTACTTTTACTCTTTTAGTGCAACTTCTAGTGTAAATTAACACTATTACTTGAGTAAAACCTATTGCTGGTAGTGAATAAAACAAAAAGGTAAATAAAGAGAAACATTTATTTGGAACAAAAATCTATGACAATTATCAAAATCTGTGCCTTTTAAAATTTAATTTTATATTTGAGTCGTATGGCTGGCTTAAGCAAAATGGTTCTTTAAAACGTAAAAGTCTTACTGGCTGTCAACTTGTAAGCAATGAATTATCTTAAGAATTCATCAGTAATTCATTTTTCTGTTATAAAAAATGGGTGATCCCATTGGTAGAGAGGCGTCAGGCGTCTGTATGTCGGGGATTTACCACACGTGTATAAATTTTCCATAATATTTATAAAAATGTAGGTATGGTTAATATAACAACCATTAAGCTTGAAAATAAAAAGTAAATAAAGTGTGCATGTATTTATATTATTAATGTTACAAGAACCCGACCTACTGCCGTAAATTATTAATATATAATATAGGTCGGGTATGGACATCCTTTTAACATATTGGTATTTATTGAGTATTAAGACTTAAAGAAAAAGGAAGTATAATACTTACCAAAAAATAAGAATGTCCTCTTATGGATTCACCGTAATTAAAATCTAACTGAACAAAAATGCCACACTTCCACAACGCGGTATCCCAACCTATCTATTTTGCCACTATTGGTGTAATTTAACTGTAATTGTGATACAATGAGCACTAGTAGTGTAAAGAAAAAGGAGCTCTTAGTAACATCAAAACAAACAAAGAAATTGACATGCACTGTAGTGTACATTTTGTCACATTAAGGGGTAATAAACACTCGCATTAAGTTTTTCTACCCTTTTGATTTATTTTAATAATAAATAGTGTGAATGTACCAATGAATAATGTTCATATTCTTTAAATGTGTTTAATAAAGTTAATAAGAACTAAATACTACAAAATACGCAGGTAGGTATTTTGTAGTGTAACTTTTTCACTTACAAATCAACTCTAATATTTTTACCCCTACACGAAAAAATTTACACGGGCAAATTTTTTTACTGTGTAGTCATTTTTGACTAATTCAGAGGAAATAATGAAAATACAATTTTAGTTGTCAAGTGTAAGTGCTGACATGATCATTGTTATTTAAACAACTCCATGAAGAAATCAAACGTGAAATTC